CAGACTACCTAGAGAAAGAATCCATAAAACTGAACCTATAATGACGCAGCTGTGATATGAAAGTTGTAGAAAACAACCAGCGAATTGTACTTCAAAAATCATAAACAAAAAGGCATCACTTTGGATGAGGACAAATTAGGAGATTCTATTGCTTTGACAACGGAAGGGCACTCTAAGCTCAGTGTTACTGAGACATTCTGTCATTCTCCATGGGGTATTAAGTTGGTTAATTTGCCCATGGAATTCTATAAACCAACGTTTTTGCGAAGAAACTTGCAAGTATGAAAACTGTGGCAGGATCTCTGAGCCCTTTGAACTCTCAGCAGGGCAGAGGAATCAGGTCTGTAGGAAAATGGACACAGCTGCCTAAGTCACAATGTGCAACTGGTATTTACAATCAGACAATTAAAAAGACGTATGGAAAATGACTAGCTTTTTGCCTTGAAAAGGAGGGGCAGAAAGCACCTCAAACAGTAGAGGACGCTGGTCCTGTACCAGAGAGAGAAGGACGTTGCTCCCTGACATGAGGGCATTCTGTGAAGTTGATTTATGATCTCCTACTAAAATGAAAGGCAAAGTCTGAAATTTCACATGAGAGTAGCTGTACCTCTAGTAGAAATAGTCACAGAGAGGAAGGAACAATAGCATGAAGAGCATGGAAGGAATTTTTCTGTAAAATCAAGAATAAGCAGATTTTTCTTTCCAAGCATTAGCATTTAGTTCTGTAAGAACCAGTTTCAAATCCTAACTACAAAGATAAAACTTCAGCTGTTTTCCTACGATAACTAGGAATAAATAAGAGGAAATTATGCTTCTGATTTGTAAAGGGCGATTCCATGAAGATAATAAAACATAGCCATTGGTAAGTCAGCAAGTAATTGACCTATACAACATCAACAAATACTTCAATTTTTATTGCAACTGTCAGACAGAGGAAATTACACACAAAATGTTTTTGCCTTCAGTGAAAGATTCTGATTCAAAGAAAAATATGCAAGAGTTTAATTTCCCTACTGCATTCTAGCACCAGTCTTTTTCTAATCAATTGTATTGTTCTAGAAAACAATTAATTGGAAATAGACTAACTGCAAGTGAATTTACATTAGAATATATTGGGAGATTCAGAATAGATCAGCAGAATCAAGATGTACATAGTTCCACTATTATATCTTTTTGTAGTCTGGTCCAGCAGAGGATGTAGTATTAAATAGCGTTTACTTGTATTTTAATTTTGTGTTTTAGTGACCTCTGGTGGTTACATATGGAAAAATGTTTTTCACAGATGACCTTAAAGAAAGGGAAAGCCATTAATTCTTCAAAGGGCAATAAACCAAAAACTTTTGGTTTGCAGCAAATGAACATTTATTATAGCATGTGAAATGAGGATGAGGTTTCTTTCTTTCCTAAAGTTTTTTCTGCTTTTTCAGGACTCGATGTTGCTATTATTTAACAAACCATTTAAACAACAAAAATAATTAATGGTGCAGTATAAACTTCAAAGGTAGATAAAATGTCCTTAAGTAAATGTATAACTGGGTAAAAGACAGGAAACTAAGGGTAGAAATAAAGAACCAAATTTTAACATGAAATAGCCAGCAGTGCTGTCCTGTTTGAGTCTCTTGTAGGTCCCATGCTACATTTACAAATAGCAAAGAAATCACAGAAAAATTGATGAGTAAATAATGGGGTGACAGAACTGCAAAGTCTGTTGGAACAACATAGCTCTGTGACGATGGAGCAATATAAGTAGGAAAGAAAATTTATTGTATGCAGCACAGAACACACATGGTAAAAGTAATTCCAGTCTTGCATTTTCTTGAGTTTTGACTTTTCATACTTGGGAAGAAAATTGTGAGGCTGTAAGAGGGAGATCCACAAAGAGACCAAGTCTGCCCAACAGTAGCCAGTAGCCAAAAAGCAGGCCATATTAGAAGTTACTGATAACAAAATAGGAAATAAATAGAAAACCAACTACCATTCAAATCACTTATGTATCTATTTTATTAGGAGGATGCAGTCCTCCTAATAAGGTTCTTGATCTTAAAGAGATGAAACTGGGATCCGGAAGAGAACATAAGGCAAGACGGATGAATAAAATTTTAAGAGTTTTGACATGAGGAACAACTAACAAAATTAGAACCTGTCTGGAAGAGAGATGACAAAAAAGCAAAAGATAAAGATACCTTGAAAACCCCACTATAACTGGTGCAGAGAAGATGAACGTGAAATGCATGTGCTTCTTGTGCAACGTAAGAACTGGCAGGCCTCAGAATGAGCCTATGGGCAGGTCCAAACAAAGGGACAGACTGCTTCACCCAGCATATAGTTTAGCTATGCAGTTTCTTCCCAAAGGATGTTATGGATGATAAAACATTTAAGAGGATTCAGAAGATTACAAGACAAATTCAAATACCTGCTTCAGAAAAATCCCAGAGATGCCTATCACGGGAGGTGAAGAACAAGTGTTGGAGAAATAGGAATGCACGCTTGCATTACTCTGTGATTCTCCAGGTTTCCCACATTTGCCTCTGTAGAGATGTCAAATTAGAGAGTCCTTTGGATTGAGGCAGTAGTGCCCTTCTTCACTTGTCTGTAAGGGACTATTTATTTATTTATTTTATTTTATTTTAATTTTAAGTAAGACCATAAAGAACAGATTTATTTAGGACTTACAGTTCTGGGGTTGTATGTTACAGACTTCCTAAGAACAGGATCATGCAGTCATTTCACATTATGTTCTGACTAGCTACAGCTTGGTTTTGACATTTCCTAAATCACAGCAGCCATCAAGAAACTTCAGCTGGACTATCAGCTGGTTCATATAAGAGGATAAATTATGGCATTATTTGTTAATACAGTGCATAATGCTGTTTAAAATGTGTTTTTTAAAAACAGAAGATATAAAATTATATATAATTCCAACTTTTTAAAAGCATGCAATAGCTGACAATCCACAGGAATGTTCAAACTAGCAATTCTGTTACTTGGAGGGGAAGGGAAGCAGGAATCACAACTGTAGAGATCAGAAGTTACAAAAATTATACTAAAGACATGAAAACATTGGAATTAATTTTTTTTAATAATTATTTTCCTCATACTAATATGGTAAGCATTCTAAAATATTTTTTTAAATTAAAACATATTATTATGAAAAAAACTGCAAATAATTCACTACAGCAAGCAGAGCTGATGCTGTTTGAACTGTATTAAAATTCAGTTTTGTTAATTTTAAAAACCATAATTTTCCTAATTAATGCATATGAAAATTGATTTTAATTCATAGAAGAATGATAATGAGAATTTTCTTTTCTAGTCCTTCAGTTTAAGTGGGTCACTGGTCTCAGATTTAACTTGCTTTTTGAAGTACATGTATCTTCCTAAAAAATGCTAAATTAATTCTGTGAATGATTTTATGTTCATATGAAAAACACAAAACTTGAAACATTTCGAATAAAACCATATTACAGTTCAATGTAAAGCAGCATTAGTCTATTGCTTTTACATTGTCAAAGCAGACTAGAATATACAGTGTCGAGCACAAATAACATATAGAATCACAGAACACTGTCTATGGTGGAAACTGTGACTGCCAGTCAGCTCAGTTTTGTTTGTTTTTTTACCGGAATTTTAAAAGTTAGCCACCCTTTCCTGGCTTTCCCCACTTTGTAACTTTATAAAAGACATCCTCCTCTCCCCCCCCCAAAAAAAATAATAGAAATTATGTTTTGAGAGCAGCTTTCACTACAGAATTTAAATGGTATTCAACATCGCAAGATGGCCATAATCATTCTAGATAATGAAATGACAAGGTGCACTATTCATTAAATGAAAAAAACAGAGAGGCCCACAACAGCAGAAAGATCCCCCCCCCCCCCCCCCCCCCTTTTTTTTTTTTTGGCAATTCAGCTAACTATTATCCAGTAACATTTTCCTATGTGCCAGATCTGCACAATATGAAGACATATGACCTCACTGTTCTCTAACTCCCTGAGGAGGAGAAGCACAGAAGCTGATGCCGGTCTCTGCTCCCTGGTCACTAATGAGAGGACATGAGGGAACAGCACAAAGCAGCACCAGGGGAGGTTCAGAGTGAACCTGAGGAAAAATGTCTCTACCATGAGGGTGGTCAAATGCTGGAACAGGCTTGCTGGAAAAGTGGTTAATGCCTAAAGCCTGTCAGTGTTGAAGAAGCATTTAGACAATGCCCTCAGTAACATGCTTTAACTGTTGGTTAGCCCTGAAGTGGTCAGGCAGTTGGACACGATCTTCACATGTCTCTTCCAGTTGAAATATTCTATTCTGTATTTGCAAAGTGTGTTAGCATATTTGCAAAGTGAGTTTAGCAGTTGTGTTTCCTCACATTCAAATACCAGCTATACCTCATGAAGTAGAAACGATGTCAACCTCACAGCTTAAACAGATATTGAACAGCAAATACTCTTAAGTTTATGAAATATGTGTATGTATCACACACAAAAAAGGATGGTAATATCATTTTAATTTCTGTTTAAATCAAATCAGTTGCACAGAATGAAAAACGAACAAACAATTCAAAATATTTTTCTTCTCCAAAGAAAGTTACTTGCTTCTTCAATTGTGCACATTCTTCAAGAATTGTGAGAAATCTCAAACAAGTTCCAACTCAATAAATTTTTGTAAAAGGAAAAAAGATTTCTAAGAAGCAATTGTATTATTATAATAATTATATTTCAGGATAACCAAATAAGTCAACATTTTTTTCTTCTTACACCCATACAAAAGTATGACAGTGACTACTTGATTTTTCTGAAGAGAAATATAGGCTAGAGCTTTATCCTTTTGGGTGGTTCTGCCGCAGTTTAGTAAAGATTGCAATAACTACATAGAATAAACACAGAAGTTTACATATTTAATTATATTTCCATTTTCATATAAGGGGAAAAATAAAGCTGTGAAAAACTGACAGTCATTAACAATGTTAAACTTATTAACTGTGTTAAAAAAAATAAATGGAAAGTTACCTCAGAAACAGGTACATTTTCTCTGAGTTCAGATGTGTGTAATGCCAGTAAAGCAATCACCCGAGCAACTTTAGCACGTCTGTATATGAAATACATTTTTTGTAGATGAAGAAAAACTACTTCAAAAATACCACAAAACAATCGTCTTGCTGCTTATATTTTACAGATTACTAAGGAAAGGAAATATTTGAAGTGCTATTTACAGCTCAAAAGTTATTTTTATTTCAATTTTTATGCCAAATTTTTTCAGTATTTCAGATTCATTTACCAAATTCATGCAAAAATATATGTTTTTTTCCTTCAGCAGTGAAAAATTTAGATTCTTTGTTACAGCCTTAGTAGTAAGTCATGCTCCCATTCAGTTTTCTTAAAATAGAGGAAATCCCCAAGAGATCATTTTAAACTTTTTAGCATGACTGACAAAACAAAACAAACAAACAACAAAAAAAGTAGGTATCAGCAAATCAGCTTTATGTGTTTCATTAAAGAAAAAATGTAGGAGTATTAACATTTACTAAACAAGCAGCAGAGGGCACTATCACCTTCAAATATTTCTGACAAACATTTTAAAAACCTATCCTTACAGGTATTTTACTACTATTACAGTATGGCTTAGTTTATCAAATATTGTTGCTTAAAATCACTGAATAAACCAAGTTATATAACTTTTAGAAAAAATTTTAAACATTTAATATAGTAAGTCTGGCAAAAGAGCAGCATGTTAACTCAATACTGAAAGACTTCAATATTATATACACACTGCCAGTCAAGCAGTTCGAAAAACCAAAAAACTCCTAAAGAATCACTGACGATCCCATATTTGAAAAAAAATTATTTAAAATATTTGTTACTTACATATCCCAGTTGGCGGCTGCACGCAGCTGCTGTATTAACACTGGAAACTATCGTTTAAAGAAGAAGATAAACATTAATGATTTTCAGTGATCTGACACAACCTGATGTTTAAAAAAAACCTCAAAATACTAGTAACTATTTAAAAATGTATTTGGATAGCATTTGCAAAAAATATTATAGATAAAGACTATAGATATTGTCCAAACACATCAATTACCAATAAAAATGCTGAGAGTAAAAGAATATTTATATCTATATATCTATATATATATATATATATATTATTTTTTTTTAATTGCTGAATGTATAAGTTTGAGAAAAATATTTTTTCTTTGTGCATACAACTATGCAGAGGAAAAAATGATGCTTTCATCTACAAATACAGATTATCATACAGTATTAACCAGCAAGTATTTAGGAAATTAAATTTAATTTTGTGAGAATGGACAGCAATAGTTGGGAAATGCTAAAAAATAGATTGATTTGACAAACAGTCACTTAAAAAATAACTAGATAATTATATCCTCATTTCTAAAATGTTCTGTTAGTTAGCATTTCAGTTATTGAATTATTGTAATAATAATAAATAAGAATTGTACACTGACAATGGAATACAGCAATTTCCAACAGTTCTCCTTTAGGAAAACTTACATGGAATTCAATAATGTTTTAATTGTTTTGTACTTAATTGGTCATATTGTTTGTCATTACACCAATAGTTTCTTGAAATATTACTAAATGAAGCTGATTTTTGCTACAATGGCAAGCATGTAAACCATGTTGATTCCTTCAGCGCTTTTACCAGGTGAGAGTTAACCAGCCGACTTGCAACTTCCTTGTGGACAGCCACAGTACACAGGTAATAGAGTAAATTCAGTTTAGAACGTGCTGCTCCTGCATTTTTCTCAGTGGAATCAAGCAATGAAGTTGCTTGTTGCAAGAAGTCATTCCAGTCCACGTCTTTCATAGACGATAACTTCTCAGCTAACCATAAGAAACAAGTAGATAAAGATTATAGAAATCAAAAAAGAAATAATACGTACAAAGCATAAAAAGATAATAAAAACCTTGAGACATTTTTGAAAGTGCAACCCTCCCAAGTTCCTGGTCTTTAAGTAAACATTCTAGTTTTTTCTAAATATAGGGCCAGTGTTTTTGACCTTAATCATTACTAATTCTTAAAAACTAAGTGCAGTTTCATTACAGCAATATTGAGGTAAAAACTAATCAAAGTCAGAAAAATCACCAAAGAATCAATTGCAACAAACTTTATTTTTTTTAATATATTATTAAATAAATATTCATACAGATAGATATCTATCTGGTTAAGCTGTAAGAGTTATCAGAATATTGATAACTTGAAGAGGAACACAAGTAAACAGCCACTAGGATGATTAGCATAAGTGTTGTAGTTCAGCACAGCAATCATTGTATGGCAATTGAGAATTTTCCAAGGGCTAACTTCAGTCTGTTTTAGTAATCATATATCCCCTCAGTTTTGGCTAGCTTTTTACTACCAACTTATCTGACTCCAAAACAGAAAAGAGCATGGCTATATTTTAAACCTGTCTTACACTTAAGTAGCACACTGACTAATAAAGACAATTAAAATTTACATCAGTGAAGGTGAAAAGCAGTTTGAATTTCAGGTATTTATTTCTTTTTTTCTTTCCTCCATATTGCCTTTAATGATAAGGACGAACTGTTGATAAACAGTACCAAATTTGCTATCTTCAAAAAACAAACCAGGAACAAAACAAAAAAAAAAAAAAAGAAAAAGCTACAACCCTAAAAGCATTACAACCACAAAAAATACTCTTCCATATTAAATAAATATACACAATAGCAGACAAACATCAGAATATCAGACTGATATTGGACTGATATTGTAGGTACTTAAACGTAAAATTAAATAAAATACTATCTCCTCAGGTTCCTGAGTCTGATCATTTTTGCCTAGGACATAAGCCAAATTCAAGATTTTTTCTTTTACTGCAATCTTAAGTGTAGTAACTATCAAATTTCTTCAACAAATTTGTAACTATCAAACAACAAATTAACTCTCCAAAATACATACTGTATAGAAAGAAAAGGGGAACTTTGACATCTAGGAAGAGGTGCTATCTGAATTCTACGAGTACTTGCCTGATGTCCCCTTTCAAGCACAGTACACCCTAACAGCACTTCCTTAAATAGACAAGAGGTTTCATTCCAAAGAAAGAAATGGTACAGTCATGACAATGTGCAGCCTTTTGTTTTCAGAAATAACAGACTTGCTAGAGGTTAAAAACACTACAAAAACAAACAAAAACACCCACAAATCTATGCTATCCACTGGGAACGTTTCACAATTATATGTGGGACTGCCAAGTATTATAGCTTATCAACACTGCACATTTTAACATCCTGTTTTCATTTGCTTCTTTAACTTCGTCAAGTTTTAGTCCATTTGGCTGAATATCTCAATTAAAATCTTTTTTTTTTTTTTTTTTTACAAAAAATATTAAAAGGAAAAAATCTGTCTTTCCCATGCTAAAAAAAAAAAAGTAAAATAAATTGTTGGCTGTCTTATTTTAAATCTTTTGAGCATCAGCTTGTAATTGAAAAGTGCAAAAGAAAAAGATAGGGTATATGTAACTATTACCACTTGAAAATTCTACTCGTTTTTGTTCTAGCTAAAAAGATAACATTTGCAACTTTGGCTTTGAAAAAAACAATTGAGTTCTCCCCATGAGAACTTATAATCTACAAAGGGAGGCTAGTCTTAGGATAGTTACATCACCACGTGCAGAACATAGAAGTCTTAACCTCAGCAGAGCCATACCTGAATATGCTGGTATAGATAAAGTTTTCAAGTCAAATCTGACTGGCACTTGCTTCATTATCTGTAAAAGCAAAACACACACATCACAACTAGTTTTAATGCATTTCTAGAAGTCTTTCAGCAATTGAACATGGAAACATGAATGTGAAACAAAGATACAGGATGGCTGTACAAATCACTGCTCATTACTGAGCTGTTTTCCATTATTTCCCACTATGCATTTCTTTCAAGCAGATATATGAGATTTAACTCCATGTTTTGAGTACAATTGTTAGCATTTCCATTTAAATACTTGGTTTTAAGTTTACATTTTTACCTTGCTTCTACACAGAAGAATACTCAAAGCTATATAAAGGATCTAGTCTGATACACAGCTGAAAGCTCACAAAAAGTTTAAGAAAGAAAGAAAAATAAAAGAAGGTTTTCAGTTCCACAGATTAGCAGAACACAGGGAAATTTTACAACATAAGCTGATATTTCAGCTTCTACATTTCTGCCAGCATCTAGTCAATCCATTCACGGGAGATTAAATTGCAAACTCTTCAGCATTACCAGGTGTCAGTGTCATCCATTAATGTGAAGATTGCAAAGTCTGCAGTGACTCTGATTACATGCCCATGGAATTTAGAGGGATACTTTGCATTAATTCTGAACCTAGGATTCCACGGTAAAGAAATTAGTCTGCATGTATACTTCCCCCCAGTCTCATCTCTTACAACTGTAGTCAGAAGAGAAGCAGTGAAGGGTTAAGGCTTCATGTCTAAGTCCTGAGACAGGACTGTGAATTCACAGAGGTGGCATTCAAATGTTTCATTACCTTTGAAATTCTCCATTGGCGGCCACCCAACCCAAACACAGTATTATTGGGTAGTTTTTCTGTCCAGCTATGCAAGAATTTGAGTGTGTTAAGAATTCCATTAAAACAAACAAAAATACAGTTATACTAAAACAACGGCTGTAAGAATTTTCTACTGAGCTAATCACTTCCAATAAAAAGTGTTACAGTCCTGCATCTCCCACTTACTGAGTCAAGTTACCAAAATAATAGATGTAGGACAAGAGAGTCTCTAACCTATCGTTCCTTCTACCAATACTGCACAGGGACCCACAGGTGCATGTTACACTGTGATTGCAGTGCAGAACTAATTCTTTTTTGGCTTTCCCTTTGCTGTCAAACAAGCGTCAGTCTCCACTCAAGAGACTCATCACAAACAGTTTTCAAGTTACAATCTGTAAGACAGAAATTGGATGGATATTTCTTACAACTTCAAGTCTTCTTTTCCAGAAAAGTTCATGCGTATTAGAAATATTACCATGACCTTCATAACCTTACAGAGTAACAGAAGTTATTTAGAAGTTATACTTCTAAACTAGATGGCTTCATGGACAGCTTTGCTTTTAGCACACCAAAACACAATGAGCCTTGTGTTCATTTAAGTAATAATAAGAAAGCAAGTTATCAGAAAACAAATCTACAAAAGCACTGAACACAGCATTTAGTAGATTCCATTTCTTGTAAACCATGAATATTACTATTCAATCCCAAAATAATTCTGTCCTCCAAACTAGCAATACAATAGGGTTACAAAAGAATGCCAAAAACTTGCACGAGAGCTTTCCAGATGACGAGGTGGAACTGCTTTAGAGAAAGAGTTATAAAATACAGGAAAGGAGTTTCACCCTGATTACAGATTTATCTACAAAAATAGACTCACCCACAAGTTCCTGAATCTTATATTTCATTTTGCCATACCTTTGGATTGTCAATGATTGGTGTCACGATAAGATCAGATTCAGTGTAAATGAGCTCTTTCAATGTTGACTCCATATCCTGCTGACTTGAGCACCTATTTTTATCCTAGAACAAGAACAAAGGTTTTTGAAATACTTTTGCACAAAAGAAGAAGATATGTTTATTGCCACAATATTTCATTTAAATGTTATACCACGGAGTTTGGCCATGTAAATTCTATAATTAAAATTGCTTTTTATTCATATAGTAGTAAATAAGGCCTCCTAACTAAAAATTATGATAAACACACATATGTGAGAAACAGTCACAGGTCCACAAAAAGCTTGCTTGCAAACTAAGCTTAAAAAAGTAGATGGGACAGTAGATAAGACAGAATTACCTTCTACTATGCATGGGGAATAAAAAAAAAAAAAGGAAGACAAAGTATCTTGATTAACTCCTACATCTGGAGTTCTGCAAACTATTTTCTTTTTTCTTTAAATTTGCACACTAAAGGAACTACTACTGTATGAATTACTTTTCCATTATAACTATAGAATGGGGAAGAAGTAGTTTGTCTTTGTTACAGACTCAAGGCTATAATTCTAACTGTGATGATACCTCCATCTCTCAGTATAATTTTCCTACTCACCTTTGTCAAGCATGAATCTCTTTGATGAGAATTTTGGATTGGGGCAGTAGTAACATCACTTACTTCTACTGTAACGCTGGTTCTAGGAGTAGGACGAGAACTAAAAAGAGACAAAAATTGTGATTTATTTTGTTGTTATTAATTTTCTCCTGGCTGCCAAATCTTTGTAAGCTGGTGGAAATGAAAAACTGTCTCATTTTCATATACGAGTGTGAAGCAGGCTTGTTTTTTAATTTCTTTAAAAATCCTGTCTACTAATTAGAAAACAAAGAGCGACCAGAACACTGCAGTTGTGCAATTTTAATCAAGCTGCTAGTGAACTCTTTTGCGGTAGAATACATTTAAATTTTATATGTTTAAAATCAACTTTAGAATTATTAAAATTAGCAGGTCAAGAAACACTGATTTATTCGACACCTTTAAATGAGTAGACATTTGCAGAATCTTAATTTGCAGAAAGTAATATACATATTCAGTTGCAAATCAGGTTTTTTTTATTAGAAAAAGCAACTAAACTAAAAGTACAATCACAAGACAAAATTAAAGATACTCATTGAAATCAAAGATCAAATGACTAACATAGATCCCATTTTTAACCTTATTTTGTCTTGTGTATTTTGGACAGTAACATAAATTTAATAGGCAAAAGGAAGTGGTGCCTAAATATCTGGTTGGTGGTGCCTAATGGATCTGGTTGGAAGTTTAAACAGTCTCACTTCCTAAATCAAAAAAACATGATTTCTACCTAGGAGGCAGAACAAATTATTCTAGGTTCCCATATCAATCATTTATCAAACATTTTTTCCAAAACTAATTTGCTTTTATATACATTTGAAAGACAGAAAGTCTTTCCTATTTTTCCAGTTCTCAGTTTGTTTCTCGGGTAAAACAAGACAAGAAATCAGTGAATCAAACTACTTGACCTATTCCCTTTTCACATGTATAAGAAGCTACCGCTGTCAAAAGCTGATTAACCACCCTGACAGTTGAATAAATTCTGGTGCCAAGTGACATGACAGGAACTTCCTTACACTTCAATGCTTTAAGCTTGAAGAAATTCAATCATTCAAGCAAAGAGTAGAAACAGGATTAAAATTTCTACATATTGCCTTTCTTCTTTTTATTATTAAAATAAGTGTACTCACCATAAATAAAATATATTGGTCTTAAAAGTACACTTTTGGATTATATGGTTTTATATCAAGTGTTTGTACTACCATTGCAGTCCGTCTTCTCAGCAAATTAAGGCAAATGACAAGTGACATTCTGAATTGCTAAAAGTATGTTTTTATCTCATTTTTACATTTTTCCATCACAGCTGAGTAATAATACTTTATTAAACCAACTGAAATAACCGGAAAAGTATCATGCATAAAAGCTCTATTTCAGGTTACATAAGAATCTTGAAAGAGTGTTTTATTTTAAACAGAAATATTTCTGCCTGATGAGGACGAGAATTAAACCTTTTTTTTATTATTATTATTATTTTTGTAGAGCCTGCTTGGCTTGTAAATTAGTACAAGTTTCAGAATCACACCGCAGGTGAAACGTATCACTTAAATCAATCACGATTTTTTATTTAATACCTATAGCACTACTTAGTAAATACCAACAGCTTATGATAAAGAGCCACAGGCAGAATTTCTTAATGCATCTTGAGATGAACATTTATTCTTTCACATCTAAAGTAACTGTATTAAAAACACATTCTCCTGTCTAAACAAAGAAAGAAGTTCTAAATGGAGTCTTCTGTTTAGGCAAACACATGAGAAAGAACCAATTTCATAAAGCCAAAACATTGCTTTAACCATACACCTTGTTTTAACTGGTATTCAAGTGCACCTTAATATTAAATTGTTGATAGAAAATTCAAAAGGATACAAGGAAACACTGTAAGAAAACATTACAAACAGAATAATAAAGTATCTGAATAGACAGGGGAAAAAAAAACAGACTTTCAAGGGCCTTCTAACTATTGCTTTGATTTTCATACCTGAGAAGAAATATGGATTCATTTAATTCACCATCAACTACATTTTTGGGGCGCAGCTCAGCTGGATTTTCTACTGAAAGAGAACATGAAGTCATACTTGAAGTTAGGAAGAAACAAAACACAGGAAATAAGCATGTTGGTAAGACTGACAAAATTCACAGGACACATAATGATTCAAAATAACATAACAAATATTACCTATTTTGAAGGAATTTCTTTGTAGCTTAATATCCACTGTAGAAGATGACAGATTTTTATAAGCTCCTTCTGGCTCCTTGGTATTCCAAGACACAGATGATACTGCGTCCTCATTGCTGTTTAATAGGAAATATTAATAATATAACTTAAAAAAAGAAATCAGATGGATCATATCTGTTTTTATTGGAATTATTAACATGCAATTTAACTGTCATTCTCATAGATCAGCATCCTATTGTAATATGTGTTATAAAAACTTTTTATACTAGTAAAGGCAAGAATGAAAAATAAGTTTCTGGCAAGTGACTTAGAGAATACTAAGAAATTACAAATTTATTTTTGAATTTAGTAAATAAATTTATACCCCAAAATAATAGAGCTGTAAAGAAGTATTAAAAGCTTTAGAGACCTTTCAATTTTCACAGAAAGAAGTTACAACTGCCGTATAATGAAGCAGGCTTAATAATGAAGTTTATAACCTAGATTAAGGTCAATAAAAACTACCTTTTTTAGCTTTTGCTTAAGGATTGACCTGGCAATTAATTGCACTTTTTGTTTCTTTATACCTGCCCTATTCACACGGAACTGGGTCATAAAACTTTCATCTTCACGAAGGGTTTCCAGAATATCTAATATTAATCTCTACCATATTGTGAAAAAAAATGGGCCTCATATTTGGAAAGGAAAAAGTAGACAACTTCTTTTCCATGTCAAGCCCATGTCCTAGGCTTGCCATATTTGCCAATTAGTGCATATCTCTGTATATTTCAGAAGCATTAGGAGACCATCAAGAGTAAGGTCAAAAGATTATTCTGTTCCTCTGAGAATTCCTCAAAGAGGAACACTGTGGTGGAGGTTGACCTAAGTCTCACTAATACGTTGAAGAAGTTCTGACTTTGTGGTATGAACTTGAAATCTGGATTTATTACCTGCCTGTTTGGAGAAAGTAATAATGAAATGAAAAGACAAAGAGCAGCATTCCAAATAAGAATAAACATTAGTAACAAAAGTGCTGCAGCACTGGTACCACAAATAGGTATTGAACAACGCAAGAGAGAATTTAAAAATAGATAAAACACAAAAGCATTCAGCATTCTAAAATAAAACTATTTTCACAGGAGTTCCCTGGATGGAACCTAAAATATCATTCAAATATTTATAACTACGGATCATTAAAACACACCATAATTGGAAATTAAAAAATTAAAAGCAGCAAGATAATGGACATTTGAGGAAGCCTATTTAATGTATAAGCCTGTTTTCATAAAAGGGTTGGGTGTTTCTGCATATATAAGAGTATTATAGATTTAAAAAGAAAACATTAGATTAATGCTTTACTCTATAAACTCTATAATACTTTACTCTATAAATAAGAAATATGGGTTAGCTGCATTTGCGAGGCTGAAATGAATCTACATGTATATGGATTGTTTTTATGATTAAGCTTAGAACATCACAAAACCTAACAAAAAACTTCAATAAAAGAGATAAAATTGACTCATAAGGTTCTAGAAAGGCTTTTGAAGAACAGTATTACAAGTCAAATTACCAAGCACCTTTGTTATATGAAAAATGAAAATAAATAGAAATGTTAATACATTCTAGGGAGAAAGGACTATTGAAAGCAACAGGTACTATAATACACTAATAGGATAATGCAATTGCTAAAGCTCCCGGATTGTTCATTGGATGGAGTAACATTTCATTCATCAATTAGTTGTCAACGTGAAAATTCTAAGCAAAATTCAAAGATTGAAATACTCACAGGAAAACAAAACAAAAAAGTAAAAATATTAGTTCACTTGTATGCTACATCTGTTTGCACACTCAGTACCTTAAGCTTGGTCCCTGGCTGTCTGCAGAATCACCATCGCAGTGGCCAAGAGAGCCTTTCCAGAATGGGTGCTGCAACAGGTCTGTCCAATTCAACCTATTGAAAAGCAACAAACAAACCGAAAAAACAATAGCAAAGTAGAGCTAAAAAGACAGATAGCAGGCTAGGTTTAGTATCACTGGGTTCAATGAAGCAACTAATCCCTTTGAGTTGTATTTGGACAGCAAAAAACTTTTCTTATATGAGAAATTTTTTGCCTCAATTGAAATGCCTCATTCACACAACACAGAGGGATGAGATTAAGACTGAAAAAGAACGTTCGACCAATCCCAACATTTAAATTATTTGAACTACCCTGCAAATGAAAATCGTATATTATACAACAATTAAGACTTAACACGTATAAATCAGAGCCTTATATAATAGATGAGCCCATTGCTCTGGAATAGCAAAGGCATCCAGTTTAAACAGCTACCCATCATCCTTGTTATCATTATGTATTTAGCACCACCTACAAAAATACAAAGCTAATCAGAACGGTCTGTATATCTTTGCATGAAAAAGCGAAATTTGTTCTTTTATGAGGGTTAAAATTATTTTTGCATTGTTGCGTACAGAATAGTATACATGTAACACCATAGCAGTGATTTTTTCCAGAGGTGAAAAGACAATGTAAACAACTCATCAATTAGACACTTTACCTCTTTTGAGGATCCTTTTGAAGCAAGCCATCAAGTAAACTAATGAAGTCTGCAGAAGGTTTCTGGGAAGCAGAACCTGCAAACACTTAAGGTAAGGATTGGGTAGCAAAACCAACTGTCAACTATGATAAGGTAGATCAAATCTTTATCTGTAGATAGTGTTAGAACAGCTTAATTTAATAGTAATTTCATCTGAAAAAATGTGAATGCATCAAAAGTTCTAAATATAAACTCTGCATTTCAAAGGATCCTCTGAAGCAGCAAAAAACAATACTTTGTTACCAAACTAATTTGATTTTTTATATGCTTAAAGAACCACCCTCCATTATCATACAGCTATTAGCAGAAAATAGAGTTGAAAGCTGCTTTAATTGCAATTTACACCAACCCTGACAATTTTAAAAGGACTGTTGTTGCATCCTATTACACAGAAGATGTTTCCAGAACTCTTAGTTAAATGAGAAAGACTGATTCTGAGAGCTCAAAACTCTGAAATGCAATTTATCCACTTTGACAACAGTTTCCCTTAGAATTGAAAGGAGTAACAGTTTTAACTCTACTGCACTGTTCTCATTGCTACTAACTGAAAAGGGACACCAATATTCAAGTGTCGCCATGAATACCACCAATGCCCAGAATGACAGAGTTCAAAAATTCCATCCTGGACAGTACATTTATTTTTAATTCTTAACACTAAATGATACGCCTGTTTGTCAATAGAGAAATAAACATTCACCATTAATGGAAGAAGTTCTCATCAAACGAAAAGCAACTGTAACATTCACTTTGAACAGCTAAATGATTCCTGCAATGAACTTCAGAAGAAACAGTGCAAAGTAAAACCAACTTAAGTATTACACTGATTTGACATATTTAACAAGAGCAAATTGTTACCCGCTGGTCTAGGTGGCAGTGGATCTTCATACAGAATCTTTTCAACTAACTCAGAGGAGTTGTCTGAGAAGAATGGTGGTCTTCCTACAAACAAACAGGTTTATTTCCCTGATTAGGCAAACTTCAAAATGGCTTTCAGGTGCAATAATACACATTGAGCTCATTTCCCAAAGAAAACATCCAAAGCAATAAACACCTTCACTCTGAATTCTATTTACCAAGTTCACTTCTTAACTTAAACATAAAACCTTTCTAAATTCTTCTACCATGAACAGCAGAAGAGGCCAAGGACAGAACATTCACTAAAGATGGCTTGAGGGAGGCCACCATGACAGCTCTGTATAAATCAGCAGTAAGACAGCCAGCAGAAAAAGTCTAAGCAGAAAATGTCGATCCAGCAGATCAGTGTGTTATCTAAGACTTCAGAACACTGCACTGTGATTGTTTGATGCTGAAGTTTTCCTTCCAGCTGCAGACAACGCTAAGTTTATCTGCAGGAAGCCTAATGACTAGTTTTATTCTAGTTACAGTTTTCTTCTTGGCCAGATTAATGCACCCACAGTTTAATATTAAAAGATAAAAACATTACACTGCCAGAATGCAAGTACTGCTGCAATTTCAAGCAGTATTTGAGGAATACAAGTCGGTTAATATTGTTATATTTAGATCTCATTCAAAAGTAGAGCTTAATATTATTACTTTAATTGATTGATTGACAGAGTCCCATACTATTAAGTAAATTTAATATATTCTTCAAGAAATCTTTCAAACCTGTCTTAATTCTTCCTTAACTTCCCTGGAAAGTAAACGAGAATTTATATTGGGACCACAAAATACGTTTTCATTACCACTGATACTAAAGAAATATACAAACTTACAACCTGAAAACATTTCATAAAGTAAACATCCCAAGGACCACAGATCGCTGGATTTGGAAAAGTCTTCTCCCTTTATTGCTTCTGGAGCCATGTATACTGGGTTGCCTACAAAATACAGTGTACAAATTCAATTCAGCATCTATTCTGCAGAACACTAAATTTTCTCTCCACACTTCAGTGTGTTAGGGTTTATCTCCTATTAGATGCAAGAAAATTGAGATACCACACATAATTTGAAAGTAACTTCCTCTTATACCTTTCTTAAATTATGTATGATTACAGAAACTATTTTGTTGTTTACTTCCCTCCCATTAACCAACTTGGTTTGTGCTATATTTTCTAATACAATCAATGCAAAGAGTGCTTTGATATACCTTGACAGTTTCCACAGCCAAGGAAATTGGGAATAATGTTAAACCAACATAATTCTCATGTGAATAACAGAACAGATTAGGTTATATCCGGTTTTATATTAAAAATATATATATATCCTAAGACATAAATTTCCATAACATTAGAAGACTGCTAGAAAAACAAGGTAGTCATTAAAATGGTCTAAACTAGTTATACCTATTTTCACACATTAAAACATTATAAAAACATCACGTCAGATTATGGCAGTTCATTCAGAAAACCCTAATTTGTTTTGTTATAGAAAAAAATATATATGCAGTTCCTATTTCTACAGTAGCTTCCAACTAAACACTAACTAGATTCTCCAAAATCTCTGTAAGAATTATGCAAACTCAGCAAAAATGTAAATTTCATAGTCCTTTAAAAAGCTTATTTTGGATTCTTTTGCTATCAGATTTTTTTTTTTTTAAGTGACAATAGGTCGTTAACCATACAATTGAAAAAGCTGTTCTGAAAGGCAACAGGAAAGAGATTAGATTTGTATTTCTTCCTGAATAAAGATCTGGTTTTGGTCTTAATATTTTCAGTATGTGCTTTCTGCAGGAGAGAGCAAAGTATTGAGAAAGCTCTCTTTGTTCCCACAAAATATTGCCAAGAATTCCATTGTTCCATATAACAGTAACTGCTATGACACATCATTATCTTGGAAATAGAGGTCTGTGAGATGCTCCAAGACATGAACTATTGAAAGATTCTGAAGATTAAAAACAAAAATCTGAAGTTCTCTTATTTGATGAAAACAAAACATAGTGTTTGCCATGTAGTCCATTGTCATGGATGTCTCTTAAATTAAAACAAAGGAACTCTCATACTTCAAAAAGAAACACTCTTTCTTAATGGAATGCTCTTTCTTTGGTATCTTTAGTACTAAAACAGTCAAACCTCAAACTAGAAGTGAAATGGAACACTGGCGTCAAAAAGGATAATTAAAGTCTTATGTCAATAAAAATCACAAAAGCCTATTTCTAAGCTATTTTAAATGGATACCTAACAGCAGTGCAGTCTCCAATTACAGTTGCTGCAGTTCTGTGTAGTACTTACTGAGTTGTGTATACTTTTAACATGAAGTTAATGGAAATTACTCCTAGACCCTATGGAGTCTGCAGCACTTTTTTTTTTCTTAATGTATATACTAAACACTAGAGATATAAATGTCATTAATTATTAAAGATAGTTTAAGTTCAATTTCCAATGTTTTTAGTGATTTTTATTATTTTTGTAATCCTACTACTTGTACTTAGCTTATGATACATGAAATGCATCAAGGACCAACGGTATTTCACTGAGTTATTTCTTTTAATAATCATTACTTTTCATCAAATAGAATGTACAATTTAATCACCCTTAGCAAACCCAAACACAATTAACATTTTCAATTAATTAGCTACCTTGAACCATTTTCAATCTCATCCATATACACATAAAAAAAAAAAAAAGACAAATTTTGGTTCTATTTTTTCTTTTTCTCCAATGAAAAATAAAACCAGAACAGTTTATGAGCTAATGAAAACTTGTTCACGATACAGAAACAGTTTGTACATTAAGCCCTACTGCTAGGATGTGATGTCAGTTGCAAAAAAGCCTTTTAAAAACTGAAAGTTTACAGGCTGTATTATATTTATTTAACAATCACCTATGTGTAAGGTTCAATCCAAAAATAACCTGAAGTCTATTTAAAACGAGTAGGAAAGGTAAGTAATTGTTAACCTATCATATGATTTATGACAGAAGGATATTTTTCCAGTTCTTAGTTAAACTGTTCTTGTAAAGTTTAGAATTATGGCCATACACCTGTAAAACACAGCTTCTCTACTTCTTACTCACTCACAAGCGTTGTTCCCTCTCTATGTTATAATCCCTCCAAACAATCTTTAAGAGCAAATTTTTTAGTTTTAAGCCTACTTAAGGAAATCCCCACATGCGGGATATGTAAACCCTGCTTACAGAGAAGTTACAGATGATGCTTTCCATTGCAAAGACAATGGCATTTACAAACGTCCACCCAACAGAATTAATTATTCAGTTTTTCCAGGAATTTAGTAAGCCCCAACAGAGTGATGATCAGTTACCTTCTTTCAAAGTCTCCTCTCAAAATTATTTATAACAAGGGCTTTTTCCCCGCTTTCATTCTGGCCCTTTGGTTTAAAGCAGTTTTGACTAGTAGAAGTATCATACCTCGAAATCTGTCTTTCACGCATCTTTGTGGAGTGCCTTCACTGACATCTCCTCCTGGTTCTTCAGAGGAAATTAAATCAAAAAGCTCTTCCAGATTTTCACCATCTGCTTTCGCCAAGCAAAAATTACTGAATTTCAAACTACCACGTCCTTCCAGCAGGATCTACAGGGATAAACAGAATCCAACAAACAAGTACCAGATCTTAACAGTAGTGACTGCTGAAATTTCCAATATAAACTAAAAAAATAAGAAGCATAATCAAATCATTTAAGTAAAGAGATGAATGATCACTTTCATATTCTTATAACCAGAAAATTTCCTATGCTCACAACAGAACCATCAATGGTTCAACACACATTTTTGTTTATTTATTAAATCAAAACAATAATGATGTTACTACAGTGAAAAAAAGAGAGTAGAAGTAAGATATGTTGTGAAGTAAAAGAATAATAAAAAGTAACACTGAGGAAAAAAAAAAAAAGTGAATCTTTCCAATTTGATCCAGCAGAAAATTCTAAAGATTTTGTCTAACAAACATGAGAATTTTCCCCATGCCGTCACTGCATAAAGACATAATTAAAATAAACGTAATTTCCATAATTAAAAATTTCAGAATCCCAAAAATGTTGTTTGAAGAAATTGCCCATTTAGTCAAACTGGAGGAAAAAGTCTTACTTTTGCACTTTATTCTGTGTTCAAAAGAATACTTTACAGTTTTTACATTTTCTTTTTTTCTCTTATTCTTCAGAAAAAATACAGAGGCATTACCACTATGCTTTATTTACATATTCATATCTACTTACTGCACTTTGACCCACAAATGACAAACTGATTACAACTGCAAGTTTTACAGAAAATTCAGACACAAGGGCAACTTCACCACTTATAGATCAAGATCAAAAACAAAATTACTGTTAAAGCAAGAACTTTTGATCACAGCTACATTCACTTTACTATCTAAATTAAAACCATGAACTTTGACTGAACCGTATGCAAGTTCCACATGGACAGTCAACGACAGAAATTGAAAGATTGTTGGTTTTATGCAAGTTAAAGATGATAATTTAAATGGCATTTGGAAACAATGGAGAAAGTTATTTACAAATAAAGTTAACTTTACTCCCTTGTTAGCATTTTCTGTGACTTCAAAATATCCTGCAGCATGATAGAGCAGGTATAATATGAGGTTAGGGCCCTAGGATAGAGAACTAAAATCCTTGATTAACTCAGACCAGTACATCAAGCCAAAAAGAATCTATAGTTCTATCAAATTTAGAATACAGAAATAAATCAATTAGATCATAAACTATTCAAGCTCATTTCTTGTTGTCTTTACATTTATTACAAAGCTCAACTGGCCTCCAACATTAGATAGGCTTCTCACAAACAGTACAATAGGAATAATGATTAACATTCCGATAATGATTAACACGCAAGGTAATATACAACATCCACTATAAATAATGCTCCTTGTTACCTTTCCAGGTGTCAGTTCACAGAAGATAATTCCAAGATTATGAATGTGGTGTAAACCAGTAATCAAGTCTACACCAAATTCTCTCACTACGTCTTCAGGTAGATGTTCATCTTGAGCAATAAGAGATTCTAGAGAACCACCTGAAATATGTTTACACATGGTCAGCACAGGAATTATTTGTGCATATATAGAAAACGTCAGGCAAAGACATTATACATCTTCAAAAGAGGTCAAGCTAAAATGATAACCAGTATTTGTTAAAAATATCTTGAGATTATAAAATAATTACAAAACGTACAGAAAAATTTATTTCCAAGATTGTGACAAAAAGCCTAAGTTTGACTACAATAAAATTGAATGCAAGACTTTAACAACGCTTTCATATTGTTTAATTTTGCAAAGGAAACACAAGGCAAAAAAAAATCCCCATGAAGTAGTGCATCATGTCCCAGTGTGATAGCACACACGGGTTTGACTCCTTAACTCATCCAGCAGGGATCGGGGTAAGAGAATAAATAATACCAAGAGCACACTAGCAACATCTATGAACAAGCACTAGAATTAATGACGTGGAATTCCTCACTAAGTTCTTGGACAAAAGAAATAGTAAAGTTCTGAGGTTCAGAGGTCAACATCATTCAACAGATGTACTTTGTTTGTTCTTCACACATGGTATTCTTATACTGTCCTCTTCTTGATTCTTGTGTGAGTCAGTCCTTCATTTTTATCCTTTCCTCTTTTAGGTTTTAAAAAAGAATAAAAAATACTCAGGAATGAATTTTCACATCTCAGTCTTCTTGTACAAATCCCAGCAGCCCAGCCCAGCAAGTCTGCTCACCTCTCTGGACTTCTCATCCTAACAAAACTTTCTTCTGTGTCATGACAAAATCTCCACTCTCCTTCTTCACTAACTTTTGACCACCGTTCCTCCAATTCTGATCTGATTACACCTACAAAGCGTTGCAAATATCCCTCACATCTTCTACTACCCATGTCCCTCTCTATGCGTCACATTTGCTTTCTATGCTTTTCCCCACTACTGTTACTATTTCTCTGTCCCTGCAAAATCTCTTCTCCCATCACCTGGTTCTCCACATCCCAGTGATTCTCAGGTATCGCAGACACATCCCATTTGAGTCATGGCTGACCTAACTCTTCACAAGACTTGGACTTCTCCTAATTACCCACCTTCTACCAGTTCATTGCTCAAACAGTCTTTCTTCTTCCTGTCCCAGTCTACCATCCTAAATTCCACATTCCCATCTTCCCAAGACCCCATTTCTCTTCTGTATTTGTTCCTTTACACCTAATCTGTTTCCCCAAGACCCTGCACTGTATTTTGTGAATTGTCTATGGGTTTTCTGGATTATCTATCACGTGTTAGCCAAATCATGCAGATTAAAAAAAAAAAAAAAAAGACAAAAATAAGTACCCAAATGAAAACAGGGTTTAGGAGAGCTTTCCATAGAGAAGGATAATAGATCTTCTATTCCAAATCACATAACAGATTTTTCTGAGCTTTTTTTCCACTTCCCTCGTTTTAGTAATTTCTTTCAGAGAATAGTATGACTGTAAGGCCTTTTAACAACAGTATTCTTCAAGTTATACAATGCTGCTGAATCTTAAAATCATCCAAAATCTTTTTTACACTGTTTAGCATATCAGTCACCTTTACAGCCCACCCCGTACTATGTAACTAAAAATAGTAAAGAATTTTCCATCATTCTTAGTTACCACTTTTTACAATGTATTTTAGAGGGCTATGTAGAGAATAGTCCCATAATATGACCAAATATACTAGGAGAAAAAAATAGTGAAGCCAGCAGCACAAAAGTATGCTGCATCTGGTAACAGAAATTCACTTGTCATCTTGAGATGAGCGAGAGATCATCCACATGTCAAAAGCAGTTTTCAGGGCTCTATACAGAATCAATAAGAAATTCCTATCTTATTCGATTTAAAAGTATGCTAGCTCCAACACATCCTCCCTGCAGCAAACTGCTGACAAAGAATATAGGGATTCCAAGCAGAATTTGAGACGAGTCAGATGGAAGCTTTATTAACTATGCCTACAGTGAGAGAACATTCAGGCAGCTTTTACTTCTCTGCTCTTCCATTCTCTGCCAAGTGACAATGATGGAGAGATGGCTCCTGATGTTCCACTTCTATACGTCCCACCAGTATTATCTTAGCTTAGAAGTGGGGGTTGGACACAATCATAGACTGTTAGCTTTTAATCAAAGGAACGTTGTTTTAGTTAGATAGACTTCTTAGCCAGACATCTCAAATCTTAAATATTAATAACTTCACCACCACACTGTGATACTGCAAGGTAAAATGCATAATAATTGCTCTAACTGTTCTTAATGAATGTCTGGCTGTCTAATAACTCACATACAGTAAGACTAGGCAATTAGGCCAAAGCTTCCAAATCAGCCAACTAACTTCACTTCTGAAAATTGAAAGTACGATCTGATTATTCGTCAGGACTTTTAGCTTCTCCAGTAATTTCTGGAAATAGAATTCTGAACAGAAAAATAGGCAGTGTGCAATACTGACTCTTACTGTGAAACACATCCCACATATCAAAATTTGAACATGTATCTCTTGCACAACTGGAGCTCTTTTCTTTCCATGTAGAGGAAAGCATACTATCTGAAGTTTAAAAAATGCTTTAAAACCTTTCTGTTTTAACAGATTGACAAGAAACTATCAAAACTCAGTGAATCACTTAATGCAGTTTTGGGTTCTCAACACACCCGAATAAATATCTTAACAGAAGAGTCAAAACACTTCCGTTGAACAGGAAAAAAACAAACAGCAACAACAACAAAACTTATACAGAACTGCCCCTTGATTAAAAAAAAGAAGCATTTATACAATGTCAAGTCACTTGTAAAGTACAACTTATTCACTCCTACCCCTATTTATTATGGTATGCTATAAAATGAGAACACCAAAGTTGACAGTCGGTAGAAATCTTTTCTCAAGTAAAATTTTATATAACTACCCTCCCTCTACTCACAATTTCAGTTCCCCTGAGTAGACCCACCCGTTCAGGTAGTACAAACTAAGATTATGTCACATAAATTAACATTTAACATGACACACTGTGAAGTAGAAGAGAAATATGACTTGAGTGAAATTCTAAAAAATGTTTCCAGAAGCAATTTTTTTAAAGCATACATACATATATCATACACAATACATGATTGTTAATTTTTTTCAAAAACCTAAGTAAGCATTTGTTGTAGGAAAAACTGTTAAAGTAAATCTCTTACAAATACCTGTAAAATATTTTATTTAATTTCTGAGTTTACCTTACCTGTGCACAATTCCACTACAAGCCAGAGATGGTTGCTTGTTTCATACCATTCATGGAATGTCACTATATTCTTGTGTCTGATTTCATGAGTCAGACGAACCTAGAACAAAGTTCCTAACATTTTTAATGGGAAAAAAACGGCTGTATATATGGACTGTAGGGGGGGTTGAGACAATATAGCTTTTCTCTAGGTCAACTGCTCATTCTTTTACCTGTTCCAGCAGACAAAGGATTTAAAAATTAATTTCTAACTTTTAAGATTTTAATTTTACATGTAAGTTGAGGACAGATAACTTTCCCCATAGACTTTGCCCTATTTAACCTCTTTCAAAAGTATGGGAAAGTTCCCCAACCACTCAAATACAGACACTGTAGATTTGCAAGCACTATTTAACTTCTCTGCATCATTAAAACAGTAACAGACTCCAAATCAGAATTTGGGATTAAACTTGGATTTCTGCTTTCTTTTTCAGTGAGAACACAACTGTGAGGAAAATATGGTTGGATGTAGTAAGAGGAAATAAAATGAATGTATGAAAACAGCTTTTTTTTTTTTTTTCCCAAAAGGTTCTCTGATGTATCATAGAAATAGTAAGCCTCTAAGCATGACTTCATGCATGCAATTTACACAAAAAAAACTGATGAGAGAAATACACAATTTAAAGTAAGACTCAAAGTATAGGACTTTGAAATCTTAAGAAGCTGATATAAATGACAACAAACTCCATGTAAACAAGCAATTGGTGTTTTTCTTTACTATCACCTGTGCTACAAAAATTGTTTAGGCTATATTGTTTCCCAGATTTAGCAGGAAAAACATTACTTACCCAGTTTGTTATTTCAGCTCTTTTGCATTTATCAGTGCAAAGAATTGCAACAAAATTAATTGTCCCCTTTCTTCTTCCTTTATAAACAACTGTCTTGTTTCCTCTTCCTATCTCTTCATAGAGAATGAAGTTCTCCATGCTTAAGGATGCTTCACTGGCAAGGGATTAGAAATATGATATTACTTTCATAAACAGATAAACCTTTAAAGGAAGAAGGTGGAAGGGGGATGTGTTTAAATTTATTAATAACTGAGGTACTGCATTTACATGCACAATTCTTAAAAAGAGGGATTGTATACATCCAGAAAGATCAAACATAACTATCTCACAGAAGGCCTGCTCTCAGGAAATCTGATCAGAATTTTTGAACAGGTGACAGTATTTTCCACTTCCAAAGCTCTTTACACATTCCACCAATTTACAGATGGGCCAATAACTAGGAATTACAAATATTTTACCAGTAAATAAAATTCTAAATTTGATATCATGATTTTTAAGCTCTACACAAAACTGCTGGCCAAATGAGAATATCCTAAAGAGAAAGCCTTAACAAATATGATTACCGTTTCTGCCCAGGGGCACACCAGGTGCATGGTCCCCTGCAGCTTTCCACCATGTAATTTAACCCTTCTAAATAATTTAATCAACATAACTGAAGAAAAAAAAAAAAAACAAACACAGGAATCAGTACTGTTGCCAATACTACTCTGCCTGTAATGTTACCAGTTATAGGAGTCAGTGTTAAGTTTTTTGTTTGCATTGAATAGTTTCTATCCATGAAAAAGCTGTGTAAATTTGCTGACCAACATTGCATCGTGGGAGTCAACAAATTCTACAGAAAAGTTATACTTTTGTCTCACTAATTTTGTGTGCTTTGTATACTGAAACAAATTAAACAAATTCCAGAGACAGGATATATTGCTAGCTAGTACTCAGTGACCACCCTGTGGTAAGTTCTTCCAGCTCGCGGCCAGCTCAGCTCTTTCAACTGCCAGCTGAATTACTTCTAAGCCATTTGGAGTTGCTTGCTCTCATCTCAACATGAATTCTTCCTCCTCGTTTATAAAATGGTTGTTTTTTTTCCTCAGCCAGGCCAGTTCTCAGTGTAGTTACCTTAAAACCACAGGAAAGCTGAATCTCACAGCAGGCAACACTGTGATTAAGGAGGTATTGGGGAGGCATTGGGGAGGCAAGGACAATCCCCAGACATGGACTGTATATCTCGAAACAAGACACTGGAACTCATGATAAGGAAGCGGCAGACGGACAGAGAAACAAATGTAAGGACTATAAATCTCAAAATTGGACATTGGAATTCATTATAAAGATACAACAAACGGAAGAATTGGCAACAACCAGCTCTCGCAATTAAGAAACGTGCCAATTCAGCAGATTCCTGACCAAAGGTGAAAAGTACACTGTGAGGAAGACTCGGGGTCTTCCTCCCAAAGACCCCTGCCCACGTCCCAAAGACCCCTGCCCACAATTCTTGGGAGGCTCTACGCAGGTGCAAGGTGCCAAAAGGCTAATTAGCATGAGAAGCGAGGGAAGGTGGGGATAGGTAATGCATATGTATAGGCGCTTGTAGAATATTGATAGATTGATTGTATAAATTCAAGACTGCTTTCCGCTTTGGGTATGCACGATAGGTGGAGAGATCCCCCGTGCATCCAGCGCTGCAATAAAGAATATACCACTTAAAGGAATTTCGGCTTCGATCTTTGAATCAACTGCAACAAGAACCATCAACAAGGAAGGAGAGGAAGGCTGCTGAAGCAGTACTGTTGCCAAATGCGTAATTACAAACCAGAGACTCAGTTTTGCTTCAACTCTCACAAGGAGCTTTCAGATCTCCTTGACTGACATACTGAAGACCAAAACAAGACCAGAGAATTCTCAAGTCTTCACACAGAACTTTAGGTGATTAAAAATAAAATAAAATAAAATCATTGGACAACACTAGACAACAAAGTGTCCATCACTGAAATCTCCGTGAAACCCCTCAGAAGCACCCAAAACAGCAGGGTGCAGCTGCCAAGGGAACCACATTTGCTCTGGCCAGCAGGATGCAGGACCAGGACACCCAGAAAACCCAGCTCCAGAAGCATCTTTCTTCTTCTCTTGCCCAGCAAACGGCCAGAGCACGCACAACAGAGCAGCACCTGTGGGCCTGAGGCCTCCTGCAGCCCAAGCCCTGCTGAGGAAGGCCACCTTATAATCACAGAATTGTTAAGGTTGGAAGAGACCTCCAGGATCATCTGGTCCAACCATCCCCCTACTACCAATGTCACCCACTAAACCATGTCCCTAAGCACCACATCCAACCTTTCCTTGAACACCTCCAGGGACAGTGACTCCACCACCCCCCTGGGCAACCCGTTCCAATGCCTGACTGCTCTTTCTGAGAAGAAATGTCTCCTCATTTCCAACCTAAACCTCCCCTGGTGCAACTTGAGGCCATTCCCTCTGGTCCTATCAGTAGTTATCTACGAGAAGAGGCCAACCTCCAGCTCCACACACCTTCCTTTCAGGCAGTTGTAGAGAACAATAAGGTCTTCCCTGAGCTTCCTCTTCCCCAGACTAGACAACCCCAGTTCCCTCAGCCGCTCCTCACAGGACTTGTGTTCCAGACCCTTCACCAGCTTCGTAGCCATTTTCTGGACACACTCCAGGGCCTCAATGTCCTTCTTGTAGTGAGGGGCCCAAAGCTGAACACAGGACTTGAGGCGCAGCCTCACTAGAGCAGAGTACAGGGGGACAATCACCTCCCTGACCCTGCTGGCTGCACTATTTCTGATACAAGCTAGGATGCTTGGTGTCATCTGCAAACTACTGAGGGTGCACTCAATTCCCTCATCCAGATCATCAGTAACGATTAATATTAAAGAGGATGGGCCCCAACACCGACCCCTGGGGAACACCACCGGTGACCGGTCGCCAGCTGCATTACACTCCATTCACCGCCACTCTCTGTGCCCGGCCATCCAGCCACTTTTTAACCCAGCAAAGCGTGTACCTGTCCGTGCTGCCAGCCCCTGCAGGAGATGATGCAACGGGGGAACCGTACCAAAGGCCCTGCTGAAGTCCTAGCAGCCGTTGGTTCTCTCGCCCCTCACCCGCCAGCCATCAGGCGGCGGGCGAGCAGCACCCACCCGCCCCGGGGGGCCGCAGGGCCCCGCTCTGCCGCCATCGCCCGCCGCTCAGCCCCGCCCGCCGGCCCGGAGCCTCCCATGCCCCGCGTTGGGGTGGCAGAGGGGTGGGTGCATACAGGGAGCTCCCCGCCACACGCCGCACAGAGGGAGAGACGCCGCCACAACACGCAAAGAGACTCCCACAGCTGGTTTATTTCTCAATATTTTTATTATAGCGAGGAAACGCCGCAAAGCGCCAGGAAGGCCTGCCCGCTCCCCCCGCCGCAGCGCTCAGGTCCTCGCCGCCGCGCGCCCGTATCCAGGAGACGGCGACGGACGCCGGAGCCGCCATTGGAGCGGGGCCGGGGCCGCCCCGGGTCCCCGGATGTAGCCGGAGCGCCGCCTGGTTGCTAGGCAGACTCTGGTTGCCCGGCAACCGGCAGGCCCTCCCCGGCCTAACGGCCCCTGAAACAGTTTTTTGCCATTTTTTGTCTGTAAAGCGGAGGTTTCACGTCATTCTTCATCCTTAGGTCCTTCCCCTCCCCTTCCATTCTCCCCCTAAAAAGTAAATACCAACTCCTTTAACATTTAGCTTTTAACAGCCTTTAGTGTATCTCCCCAAGACAAGCTGTGAATAATTATTTTATCAGTTGTCCCACTTCACCCTCCTAACAGTTTTGAGCCCACCGGTACGTTTCAACCTGGTATACTAAAAGAAATAGCGTCACAGAATCACCGAATCACAGTATCCTCAACAGGATAAGTTAAATAATAGATACGAATAACAGAAATGTCAGTGCTGAAACCAGGAGTGGTTTGGGATGTTTTGTTGACTGGGCTCATAAGAACTGAAAAATATCATGTGTGTGTGCAACAAAATTGCTCATTTCTTAATAATTCTTAATAATTTCAGATTCTGTCCCATTTTGCAGCATTATGTTTTCAGCAATTAGAGTTGATCTGCAATTGTCAAAGAAGCTACAGTTTTGGAACTGCACAAGCATAATAAATTGTCCGTTTCTTTTTTAATGTAAATGAGTAGTTGACAGATATAAATAAACAGAATACATAAATAGATGTCAGCCGGTTTCTTTAAGTCGGCACAAGAAAAGTACGCTTTGAAGAGGGATTTATTTAGATTTAGAAGGGTGTATATTTTGTCTTTGGCTCTGCTGAGGGTGACCGATATAAAGCAGAGGGAACTCAAGTGCAGAACCAGTTCCAACAGCAGCGTGATGGCAGAGCTTAGAAAAGCTACTTAATTGAATTGTCCCTGCCCAACAGGACAAAACTAAGCCATAATAACTGTCAAATTACTGCCTTTGCTTTAACATTTCTAGTTTTTTGTCCTGCGTACAGCTTTCTGTTAAATTAATCCAGGTTAAGGATGGTATTTATGCAAGAGGGGAATTTGTGGGGAATGAGTTGTTATGAATTTTAAGTCTTTTGAGACCTTTACATAAGAGCACCCATAGCAATACAGAGCAGAAAGAGAAACACAAACAAAATGCCTTAATAACAAGGCAGAGACTCATAGCCTTTCAAATTAAATGGTCTTCATAATGAAGAATGTTCAGTGCAATTAAAAGCACACCCAGGGGACATATTGACTCATATCCCCCCCGCTTTTTTTTTTTTTCCCAGTTCCTCTTAGTTGGGATCTATGATATTTTGTGTGTTGTTGACACACACACTTCATTATACATTTGTATCTTTCTCACCATCAAGATGCGTAATTTCAATATATCCCGGACTGGGTTTTCTTCCCTTTGGTGTAACAGTCCCATTGGTATAAGCTCTCTTCAAAAATGTTACTTGCTTTCTGTACAAGAACTATCTTAAATAATTTAATGTAGATACAAATACAAATCAGAGCTGTAATTCTTCAAGTTTTATCATTAGCCCCTTTCTTACGATTTTGATCTGTGACTCCTTCCACCGTGGGTTACTGAACATGACTTCAAGCCTTTTACTCAGCTGCAGTAAACTTTACTGTGGGAATATTTACAACATTCAGGAATAGCTTGCTAAATATTCTCTTTGCTGTTTGCAACATTTTAATACTTTTGTGATCTCTACAGCAAACTCAGCTTTGCTCCTTGCCTGGCTATCATAAGGGACAGTCAGATGTAATCAAATTCTTGTTCTCAAATAAATATATGACCTAATTTAAAGTAAACTGAGATCTCGTGATTAAACCACGTAGTTCAGGAATGCTTAAACACTTCATTGCTCTATCCTCAATGGGTGCTACGGAAGCTTCTCACATTTTGCCTGGTTCCAGAAAGTCTGACTAGTCTCCTATAATTTTAAGGTATGTTTCCATGTTTTACTTTTCTTTGATAAGATCTGTTCTTTAGTTTGCTCTAACGCCTGTTGAAGGTGTCATATACTTCTGTTTTATTTTGCCACATGTACTAGATTTTCTCCCAGCTATCAAGATTACTCATGCTCTAACCCATCTTGTCAGTACATGGTGTTTCTTGCTTTCTTTAGGTACATCTATTCCAGACTGACCCCCATTCTCATGAGAGTTTCTATTCTCAGTGTTTCGGGAATGATGATTCAGTTGCCTGTATATAATATTATGTTCCATTTGCCTTGACAGCTCCATCATTCCTGGGAAGTACATGGGGCCACTTTTCTGGTCTTAGACCATTTTGGCAGAATGATGGATAAGAACATGAGCACGTCTTTATCTTGTGCTTTTTATTCTCAGATTCTTTTCCAACACTTTCTTGAAACTAGCACATGCTGTCACTGTTTGAGTAAAACTCTGTGTGCTTTCCTTAGTTCTGCAGTCCTGTGGTAATATTAAGTTTCTTGTTTTATGATTTAATCACCTTGTTTTTCTGGGACAAGGCTGCTGTGGATAAGAAGTCAGCTCTATTCACAGGTCCCTGCTGTTGTTCAATAAATTCAAATGTTACAGTTTCAGTATCATATGCTGCTGATGTTTAGGAGTAGCAATGAGTTTTAAGATTCTTTAGTAGCTTCTGGGATTTTTCTCTTTGGAAATTTTGTTTCCTCCATCAGAGTGTTTGAACTTTTCACTGTGGAAGGATTATTGCTAAACAGTCCTTGCCAATGTGTTTGTTTCCCTGGTGAGGCAAAAACTACCAATGGTGTCTTTTATAATAACAGTGCTCCAAATCTCACCTTGCTGGATCAACCTGTAAGGTCAGCACTAGTGCATATACAGCATGCTTGTGTTCACTCTTTCTCCACTATGGTCTCAGTGCTTTGCATATGTCTAAGGTTTGCAAGAGATGTGGTATGATAATCTGCAAATTCTAATACTGTCTGAATTAATATCTTTAAAAGTAGGCATAGTACAAATGACTCTACTTTCCCAAAATCGTTGGGTTTCCCTGGGAGGTCAGCAACTGCTCTGTATACGGTACAGAAGTCAAAAACAACTTCATCTTAATTTTGTTTGCGCTGAGTTTCATCTGCTAATGAGAAGGGGTTCATTGTTATGGAGTACCGCAGTTTCTACCAGGCATTCCTTACATTGCATTCCTGAATATCATCGGTGGTGGTGATGATTTGTGAGGCTGGCTGCAGAGCTGGTGTTCCACTGCTGCAAGGTTCTGTACTAACCTCATTCCCAACACTTAAACCTACCTGCTGGTACCAAAACATGGTACAATGGCTGCCCTTGCTCATCCAGGAAAACTGAATAGGGCTGGTCAAAGTCTTGCTTGTTCCATGACTACCGTGCTGTTTATGTAATTTTTAGATTATGTAAAATCATAGATGATGCTTTCATTTTTCTGTGCATTTTAGTGTTCAAATTATTCCTTATTCTTATGCAATATTTAGTGTGTACAGCAGATATTGTACTGGTTGAGTTACTTTCATCTGTTGTAGGTTTAACATCTTGGGAGTACATCCCATTTTCTTCAAATGCATACAGCAGCTTGGACTAACGCAGGAGTCAAATGCTTTGTTACTGAATAAACAGATTCACTGGTTCAGCAGAAAACAGGGACTTTTATATTGCATATTCTGAAGATCCAGGCCGTATGCTCAGGATATCCTTTGCATCCTGATTAGAATTCACAATGCCTTGAAGGTATTATCATCATTCCACAGAGTAATTTTCATTTGGTTTTGCCTGATTGCGCTTTTTTTAACCTTTTCTTGCAAAGTGCAAGCCTGGCACATTTATCATTATCCCAGTATCTTGCATTTAATTTCCTCTTTGTTTGTGTACTTGTCTTCACTTCTAATGTTAATCAGAGCATTACAAACTATTAATTCCAACTTGCATTTCATTAATGTCAAATATGTGCAAAACCCCATCTTCTGAGTCACTGTGTTTTCTGTGATCTTTATTTTCAGACTGTAAGCTGTAGAATAGTGCTTTTCTGCCATAATTATTATATGTGATGTTATATGCAAGACATTTTAAATGAATTTTCTCATTAAGATCTTTCTACCTTCATTTTATCTGTCTCCTCTGCTTGTGTATGCTTTAGCTTCTGTGTAAGTTTTCAGATTTGTATTTAGTCACTCACCTTGTATTCGTCTTCAGACTATGTGTCTGCTCTTCTTAGGTCACAGTTTCACTAACACTTCAGAAGTTAGTGAACACTTCACTAACACTAACCAATGCCATAAGCTGGCATTGCTCCTGCAAAATACAGGAGCAGGAAAGAAATTTCAAGTATGGAAGCCACTAAACAAAGAGAAAGAACTGGTGCTGACATATGCTAGCTGAAGGAAGCTTAAAGCTCTGAACAAGAAAAATTTTCTGCAGATTTGATTCTTCCAGCAATGGATACGTTGCATATCTTATTATAAAAACAAACAAACAAACAAAACCACACAATTTATATTAAAGGTTTTGATATTGTCCTGGTTTCAGTTAGCACAGAATTAATTTTCTTCCTAGTAGCTGGTGGAATGCTGTGTTTTGGCTTAGGATGAGAAGAGTGCTGATAACACCCCGATGCTTTAATTGTTGCAGAGCAGTGCTTATACTAAGCCAAGGACATCTCAGCCTTTTGCTCTGTCCTGCCAACGGGCAGGCTGGGGGTGCAGTAAGAGCTGGGAGGGGACAGACCCAGGACAGGTGACCCAAACTA